TTGAATATTTGACTAAAGACTCAAAGTCAATCAAGCAACATTGTTGGAATATCTACCTCAGATTTTCCCTGGAACTCAAATTTAGTATATCTAAATTGAAATTTTATAGTTATTTGTTATACATTTTATTACAGTATTGAAATCAATATTCCTTGAGGCAGAGGCCTTTTCATTTGTTCAAGTGTTAAGGGAGCATTGGAAATGGGAGAAAAGGAAAAACAATCTTGAGCTGTTTCTTTTAATTCATTAATCCATTTAATAAATATTTATTGAATCTATACTATGTATAAAGAAAATGCTAGTTGTTGGAGTCACAGAATTATGGTTGAGATTTAATTAGGAACATCATCTAAATAATGACACAAATACTTAAGGCAATGTTAATTGATAAAAAGAAGTGTTGGTTAATTGATATAAGGAAGTATTGGTTAATATGAGAGTCCTTCTATATTACAGTCTAGGAATACATGTGGGTAGGGATCAGAATTGACCTTACATACCACGCAAATACATTAGCCAAAAAATAAAATTAAAATAGTATATTGTTGTAGTCAGATAGTACTACAGAAATTCCTTCCTCCCCAGCTTAGTCTAGGTTCTGAACCTTTTATTTTAATTATTATTTTTTTGTTTCTGTGGTACTGAGGAATCAAACCTCGGACCTTGTACATACTAGGCAAGCACTCTACCACTAAGCCACATTCTCAGCCCAGTTCTGAACCTTTAAGAATGCATTTTGATTAAATCCATAATTAGACAGAATATATTTATAACTAAGTTGTTATTGACTTAAAGACATATTTTCAGGTGAGTATATCATGAAATTGTATAAATTACTTCACATCTTTTTTAAATTATTAGGTGCTTCCTATGATATTCAAATTCCTTTTATCATACTTTTTCCTCCCATCTTTTTTTCTACATTTGATATACTTTGTGTTTCTATTATGTTTGTCTTGATTTATTCTGCTCCTCTGCTTTCCCTTGCCTCTTGAAACTCTAGTTTCTGCCCTTCCTTCTTTCCTTCCTTCCCCTTTTCCTTCCTTCTCTTCCCTTTTTCCTTCCTTCCTTCCTTCCTCTTTCTTCTTTATTCCTTTCATCCTGTTCTCTTTTTATCTCTTTCTCTCTTTCTTTGTTTTTCTTTCTTTCTTTCTTTCTTCTCAGTATTTGTGTGTGTGTGTGTCATGGTGCTTGAACTCTGGGCCTGGGCGCTGTCCCTCAGCTCTTCAGTTCAAGGCTAATGTCCGACCACTTGAGCCACAGCGCCACTTCTGGATTTTTCTGCTTATGTGGTGCTGGGGAATTGAACCCAGGGCCTCATGCATGTGAGGCAGGCACTCTACCACTGAGCCACCTTCCCAGCTCTCAATATTTCTTTCTTGGCTTTTATCCAAAACTTTGAAAAACAGTAAAAATAACTCAGATTTAAATGAAAGTTAAAGTGACCTATACATGCACTAATTTATATTTTGATATGTACATTGAAATTTCTAAGATGATTATATTTTTCATGGTTTTTAGTAGACTATAAAACAGAAATGAGAAGAAAAGCCAACATGTCAAACTCTTTTGATTAGGTAATCAATTGTTCCTTATCATTTGATGTCAATGTTCTTTCTATTGAAGAAGCTGTAGTTTCACAAAGAAAAAAAAAGTGATATTGACTGATTTAGAGGGAAATCAAGAAATGTGACATTTTATGCATGAGTCTTTTCACCTAGAATGCATGGTATAGGAAATCAATGGAAACTTGAGTCCATAGACATGTACTTCAGCAAAAATCTTACTAATTATCATTAGATTATAAGACATTAGACTATAACATTAGACTATAACAGACATTACAGTTTTAGAAGAATATTGAGATTATTGTGTCTACTTGTCTACCTTAGATTAATATCATTTATAGATTTCAGCTATATTTGATATAATACCAACCATTATTTTAACTTTTACTTAAGCCAGTAAACACTCACAATTATGCATGCTTATAGTACCCTTCAGTCATTTTATGTAGAAAATTGGAGGTGTTATATATTTGCTTAAATTGTTTCTTTGAAAAGGTAGGACATCTGGTTCATGTATTATTTTCAGTGATACAGTAAATGGTGTATTTATTGAAGGTCTGAATTTACTTTTCTGAAAATTATTTTTATTCTTATTCTTTGTATAATGAATGGTATGTGTAAAAATTGTCTCAAATACCTATATTAGCACTGATAGTGTATTAAATTTTTAAAAAATCTGGTCTCATATTCCAATATTCTGTATCAAGGATGGACAAACTAGAAATCTGTGGTAAAAATCCAGCCTGCCACTTTTTTTGTAATTGAAATTTCATTAGAATAGGGCCACATGTGTATTTGTTTTCTGCATAACAAAGGCAAAGTTTAGTAACTATATCTGAGACCAAAGGCAAATCTAAAAATTTCTACTAGTTGATCTCTTCTCTCTACAATCTAATTGAAATAAAATCAGTAATCATTCCTTGAATCACTATATTTTGAGACTTATAATTACTTTTGTTTAACAATTTATTATTATACACACTTTCTTGCAATGTAGCAGTGGCTATTTACACTCTATGTGTATCCCAGACTGGCTTTGACTTCACACTCCTAAGTACTAAGATTACAAGCAAGAACTGCACCATCCCCCACTTCAGCCTGAGATTTTTAAAGAAAGACAAATAGAGAATTATAACTATCAGCTTTTTCTCCTTCTAATTTGAGTTTATATTGAAAGTTACAAGTGCCTGTGAAAATGTTCAAATCTTAACCTTTTTTTGTGTTGATTATAAAGATTAATAATAAAGCCAGATTGAGAGCCAAAATGCTCTCAAAATGCAAAGTGTTTGACTTCGTTCATTCATGTTCTGCATGTCAGAGGAGCACAGGAGACTCATGGAAAATGGTTCAAATTCAACTATTAGCAAATGATAAGTCATTTTATATTGCTTATTTTTAGGAGCAGTTGCACAAACCATTTAAATCCATGAATGCTAAATTCATGCATTTGGAGCCTAGTTGGGATTTTGATAAGAAAATTTAATTTTGATTTAAAATTTTTACTTGATAGCAGGGAGCTTTAATATTATACTAACTATAGTTTTCTCAACCCATTCTTTTTGGGAGGTGTTAATTTACAACATTTAAACCCTTCATCTCTTTCTCCTTAAACTATTTTTCATATTACAGTGCTCAAACATAATTTATAAACATTATATAGAAATTCAATACATTTTATTGTAGATTGTTTGGAATTTGCAATTAGGTAAACTACCTATGCTATTATTTTCTTCTTGTTTACATATAAGTTTTTGAAACTAAATATGGTGGCTTATTACCTTAGTTGCTCAATTTTTAAAAGATTTTCAGTAATTCACACATCTAAATATTTAATTTTCAGGTATCTGTTAACATCCTAAATATTATTAAATTTAATATAGCAATTGTGAATTTCTAATATTTAGATTGGGTTTGAGGAACTGCCGTCATTAGCTGTTAGTCTGATTTCACCTGAAAAGTCATAACATTTTAATAATAGCACCCCATATATGAGTTTTCTGAAAATCAAACAACTAATAACTTGATAAATATTACTATTTTTTTACAATTAATTTGTAGCAGTAAAGAAAGACAAGAGCTTCATTGTGCTTTTCTGCTGTAGAATAGATTATTTTACTCAATTTACTGAAAAAAATAATTGTCTTCAGAATTTTTGTAGAACCAGCTTCTATTAAGCAGGCATTTCTGAAACTTGATTTATTTTGAAGAAAAAAATGTAAAAAGAAGAGAATATTTGCACTTTTTGAAATGTGAATCTAAGAAAATATTAGTAGTTTAGAAACAAATATAATTCAGAATTACTCTCTTTTGTTGAATTTTATAGTATATAAGTATACATAGAGGTAGCTTTTGATATTTTTTTCCTAATAAGATGATGTGTTTTAAAATGACGTCTATGAGTGTAGCAATTTCATCCAGTTGATAAGTTTGCAACAATCTTATATAGCACAGTTATCAAATATCTTTTATTATGATTTCTCCTCTTTTTGTGGTATTAACTCAGAGGAGTACAGAAATTGTGTGTATGTGATTAAGAGACTTTTAGGAGACAGTAAATTGGAATTGTACTAAAATTTTATAAGAATTATACAAAACTTGTAGTACAAGTTTAAAATCATTGAAATTCTAAAATCTAAATCATTTTTTACTAATACAGATTACAGATTTTCTTTTAATTTATGTAATTTCATGGTTATCTAAGTTATATTGCTGTTTTAAGATACATCATTTACTACTTTTCTGCTAATAGAATCCGTCAGTTCATCAGTATTAAGTGTTTGAGTAAACTCTGTAGCCTTTATAAGACAAAAGTAACTTTGAAGAACACATTATCTTTGAATTTAAAGACTCTATATATTATTTTAAAAAGAGAAAATAGCACATCTTAGAAAATGGTTTAATTTGGCCAGCCTCGCTGTATAGCATATTTGTTTTAGCAAATAGCAGCAAGAGATTTTTAGGTTAAATTTACTGTAATTATTTCTTATTGCTTTTGAGGGAACAGTTAAACTTTGAAATAAAAATACTTGCCTTGTTTTACTTGTGATGACATCCAAAAATAAGAGAGAAAGAGAGAAGAAAATACTGTTTCTGACAATAATTGAAAGTCCTGGAATAAATATAATGATGAGAATGAGTACTTCTATCACTGGGGAACTTTCTTCATCTAAGCACATATGAACAATTGATCCTTGTAGTCATATATAGCAGTAAACATTAATAACTTAACAGTCTGAAGTCAGTGCAGAAGATATAGAGCATTATTGAAAGATGGAGTCGAGCAGGTGGCACTTTAATATGTTCAGTGTCATGGTTGACTCTAAAGACTAGTCGAATGAAATTACTTGAGGTTCTAAAGATTTAAAAAGCGAACTCATTTTGCTGCACTAAGGAAATGCTACTGATCAGGCTTTCTGTGTCCCTTTTTTCTAGGCTAGAAAATATTAACCCTGAAGAAAATGACATGGTAAGCCATTCTCTGAGGAGATTTCTTGATGTCAGTCTTATATCTTAGAGGCTTAAGTTCAATTGAGTGGGTTTCAAGAACTAAGATGTGGGAAAAAGAAGAATTGACACACTAATAATGTACATCTTTGCTGCAATATGAAAATTCAATAACTTCACTCAGTCAATTTACAATTCACATGTGCCTATTAATTAAAACCCTATATTAAATAAAATATATTAAAACCTCATGTCTGACTAACATATAATGGTGTTGGTAGACATTACAGGAATTACTGAACAGAATAAACAACGCAGACACAGGGATCGCTATTCAGAAGAATGGAGCTATAATTGTGGATAGAATCTACAAGACCAAGGAATGTAAAAAGAGAATAACTGCAGAAGAAATGAATGCAGTGATAGAAGAACGAGATGCTGCTTTGTCTCAGGTAACTGCATGTATTTGTAAAAGCATTTATTTACCCTTCTACCCTCTTTTTTAAACCATGAAAAGGTAACTTTTACTCAGTCTTAATTTACATCACTTTAAACCATATAATTAATTCCATGTTGAGTTGATATATTAAAATATTTGCATATTTCCTAATGCCACTTTTTCAAAATACGCACCCTCTCTATAAAAGCTAATGCACCATTATTTCTTAGTAAAACAAAACTTGTCATAAAAATGAAATTTTTTTAAAGTAATCACTTTCGAGGGAGACTTGCTGCAGAGACTATAGTTTTATGAGGGCTGAAACTATGGTTTTATTACTATGTTTTTATTACTGTTTTTTGTTCCCAATGCTTTGTGAATAATAAACATTGATAAATAGCTCAAATTATTAGTATATTCTTTTCTGCATATTTCTTACAACTTCATACTCTAACTCAAACATAATTTCTTCCCTGAGGCTACTGGTTCCACTACAGTTCTTCCCAGTGGTAGTTGTGTTTCTTCCACACCAATTAAATCATTGGGCCTAGGGGGTAATTCCTCAGTCATCGTTTTAGATCATTGTTCCTTGTCTTCCCTAAACATTTCCAGCATCAGACTGCTCCCTGTATGTGTTTGTTGCAGTCATTTACACAATTGTGTGTTACACCCCTTCATAAAAGTTCTAGTGTCTTTCTTGGTCATTCTCTCTTTTCAAGCTACTCATGTCATAATGCCTATGTAAGTGGTCCTTTCAATACTAGCCTCTTGTTTCTAGACTTTCCTTTATTCATTGCATGCCACACACTACTTCTGCCATCTACTTTATGGTTATATCCTGCATTTGGTCATTACCAATCTCAATTTCAAACATCCCCCTTTTGACCTCTTCCTACTATCTTTCTAGTTCATTTGCTCTAGAACTCATTGCAGCAGTTTCCCTATTCTGGTGGTACCTGTTTCTACGGTTCTTACCTATCCTTCATTTTCATTATTCTCCTTGTGTAGCTTAGATTCCATGACCCACAATAATTATCACTTTTATATATGATTCATTTCTCTTATCCTTTTTATCTGGTTTTCTGTAAAACCTAATGTATCATTATTTCTTAGTAAAACAAAACTTGTTATAAAAATGAACTTATCTGGGGCTGGGGGTTTAGCCCAGCGGAAAGGTGCCCACCGGGTGCTCGCAAGGCCCTGGGTTCAGTCCTCAGCCCTGGCTGGAAAAAAAAGAACAAAAAGCTACAAAATAAATGATCTTTTTTTAAACGAATCACTTTTGTAGAAGACTTGCTACAGAAACTATAGTTTTATGAGGGCTGAAACTATGGTTTTATTCCTATGTTTTCCTCTGAAAACATACATTGTAAAACCAAAGGCTAAATTCATATTCCTATCTATTCTGTACCTTTACAACTTTACACGGTAGAGAAGTAGCATACAAAGTTGTTGACTGAATTTACCTTAAATTCATGTCACTGTCTCTAAGCAGGCCTTTATTGATGCCTGGCAATCTTCTTGCTATTCATTAGTCCAGCCATTCTCCCCTCTGGACAATCTTAACTCTTCTCCTTTCTCTTTAAACATTTCTCTTGACCCTAATCAAAAAGAGAAATTATAGCTGGGCACCATTGTATCACACCTAGTTACTTAAGAGGCTGAGATTTGAGGATCCAGGTTCAAAGCTAGCCCAAGCAGGAAAAATCTGTGAGTCTATCTCTAATTAACCAGCAAAAAGCCAGAAATGGATCTATGGCTCAAGTGGTAGAACACTAACCTTGAGCACAAAAGCTCAGGGACAGGCCCAGACCATGAATTCATGCCCTAGGACACACACACACACATACAATGCAAACAAACAATGCACACACACACACATAGAGAGAAAATGTATGCACGTCTTCTGTCATTTTGCCAAGTAGCAGCCTATCTGCATTTATACTGTATCCTCTACCTTTTTACCTTTTGTCTTTTATTTTTAAATATTTATCTTTATTTAAACAACATTTCAACTTCAATACTATTTTTGCATGTCCTCAGTCACTTCAATATGCAGCAGCGCTCCTGCATTTATAATGTATGCTCTCCTTTTTCCTTTGATTCTTTCGTTTTTAGTTGTGTTTTTAGTATATATCATTATTAAAAGACAGCATCTTCAGTACTAATTCACATCTTTTCTGCTCTGTTCCAAGTTATTGCTTAACTCATTGTTTATTTCATCTACTAATTCACAAACTATTTCCAATGAATTCATTTTGGTAACTGTCCAAACTGCTATTAGCTACAAAGACTGTGTGGCATTTTTGGTAAGTCTTGGTGTACACATGATTGATTCATCCATATACATTGAGTAAGGCTTCCCAGTCTGAAAGCTGAGTATTCGTGAGTGTTCCTGTATTGTCTCAACATTAAGAAACTGGAAAACTTCACTGCTCTTCAAATTTTTCATGTCATCTCTGCATAACTTCAAAAGCTTGTCCTTCAGCAAGACAAGCTTGATTAATCCAAACCTGCTTTATCAGCCCCTTTTCCATACCTACAGTTTGGAAAATTTTCCATGATTTGAGGAGGAAGACTGAGATCTTTTAAATCACTTCTCCAGTCATTCTGTCTTCAAGATCTTAGCCACTCAACTCATTATTGCATCAACAACTCTCTGCTGCCTTTATGCAGATGAGTTTTGTGTTGAATCTGAAATTCTTGTTCTTAGATAAAGCATTCTATCTAGATGTGGAGGCTTGACATTTGTCTTTAGATTAAAAATGAAAAAAGAAAGTGCCAGTGGCTCACACCTGTAATCCTAGCTACTCAGGATGCTGAGATCTGAAAACTGAGGTTTGAAGCCAGCATGAGACTCTTATCCATGAGACTCTTATCTCCAGTTAACCATCCCCCCCAAAAAAAGCAGCAAACAAAAAAAAACAGAAATGGAGATGTGTCTCAAGTGGTAGAACTAGCTTTGAGGGGGAAAAAAAAAGGAAAGAGAGAAAAAATGAAGATACTTGTAAAATTGGCTTCTGGTTTTTTTTTTATCTTTTTCCCTACCTAGTGTGTTTCATTTTAGATGATTTGCTATAGTGTTGAAGAAATAGCTAAAACAATTTGTTTGTGCTTGGAAATAATTGAAATTAGTATTAATTCACACATTAGATTTTTATCAGTTACTATAAGTTAAATAAAAATAAACATAACATGATTGGTTATTCACTGACACACATTTCTTCCTCTTTCATTTCCTCACTGCTTCTTATGTTGTAAAAAAAAAAAGACAAATCAGTATTTGGTGATATTTGCCAACAAGTCTTTATATATGAATAGATATGATCTGCTATTTTAGTATATTTTTATTTTATTGAGAAGCAATTGTTGATGTTGTGTTTTGATTAACATGTTTGTAAAGCCTGAGACACAAGCAGAATTCATTTTGATTTTATGCCACAAATTCCCATATGTTCAAACTTCTGAATTACTCTTATATTTCTGGTTAAAGACTTTTTAAATTTGCTTTACCAAAATAACTTTTTTGTTTTGCAAAAGTTGTAAATTACAGGAGAGTTTCAAAGATAGCAGAGTACCTATGGGAACTCCCACATATCCTTTACCCACTTTCATTCCCCTCCCCCTTTGCCATCTTGCATCAATGTTAGTGTTTGCTAAAATTAGGAAACCAATATTCATAATAGTATTAATTCATTTTCACGTCATTCATGTTTTATGAGTTTTTCATTAATGCACCAATCTTGAACCCATTTCACTGCATTTCACTCACTGTCCTGTCTATCTCATCTCCTTTGGTCTGTGATAATTTATTTTTCTTTTTCTTCCCTACTTTCTCCTCTGACCTTGACAGTTTTGAGGAGTGCTGCTCAGATTGTTGTAAAATATCTCTAAATTTGGGTTTATTCAATATTTTTCTCACAATTAGATGGAAACTTTGGTTATGGAAAGAATACCAAAAAGATTTAACCTTAATTTTAAAGCTATTATTCAGTATCATAGAATTTCTAGCTATAGTACATATCCTGTAAAATACCACGAAAACTATTCTCATTCTATACAGATACTAAAATATTTTTTAATTCAGCTATAATTTTTTAAAAATAATTCTGTTGAAATTATAATTCTTAGCCAGGCACCAGTGGCTCATAGCTGTTATCTTAGCTACTCAGGATCCTGATATCTGAGAATTGCAGTTCAAAGCCAGCCAAGGCAGGAAAGTCCTTGAGACTATTATCTCCAATAAACTACTCAAAAAAAAGCCAGAAGTGGCATTCTGGCTCAAGTGGTAAATCACTAGCCTTGAGCACAGAGAGGCACAGGGACAGTGCCCAGGCCCTGAGTTCAAGCCCTAGGACCAGCAAAAAATTAAGTAAATAAATTATAATTCCTTTTTTATTATTTTAAGTAGTTATACAAAGGGGTTACCATTTATCAAAACAGCTTGTGAATATAATGCATCATCCCTAAAATCAAGTTTGAGTCATTCATGCTTAAATACTTTATTCAACTTGTATAAATACTGGGAATTAGAGGATAAAACTGGGAACTTCATTTCTTCAGACCCTTTTCTTGGATCTTTCATTTTAGCATTCTACATGTACTACTCTTTCCCATTGCTATAACAAAATTTCTGAGGCTGAATACTTTCTCTCTTTTTCTTTCTTTCTTTCCTTCCTTCCTTCCTTCCTTCTCTCTCTCTTTCTTTTCTCTATCTCTTTTTCTCATTCTCTTTCTTTTTTCTCTCTTCCTCCCTCCCACCCTCCCTCCCTCCGTCCCTTCCTTCCTTCCTTCCTTCCTTCCTTCCTTCCTTCCTTCCTTCCTTCCTTCCTTCCTCTCTCCCTCCCTCCCTCCCCCCTTTCTCTTTCTTTCTTTCTCTCTTTCTTCCTTCCTTCCTTCCTTCCTTCCTTCCTTCCTTCCTTCCTTCCTTCCCTCCTTCCTTCCTCTCTCCCTCCCTCCCTCCCCCCTTTCTCTTTCTTTCTTTCTCTCTTTCTCTTTCTTTCTTGCTTTCTT